TCATACACATAAAATTAAGCCTAATAATATTATGGACGCGTGAAAATTCGGCCTAAAAAGTTATAAATGACCGTGAAAATTCAGCCTAACAAACCGCAAATTTTAGTAAATAAAACAAAATAAGATATTCACTAAAGAAGCCCAAGAGAACCGGTTAAAATGAAAAATAACTTCAAATAGTTAAATAACTAAACTAAAATAGTGAATTTAATTAAAAAATAGATAAATAAATATACATTAAAATATATATACTAATAAGAAATATATATAATTATAATTATTATATATAACGGTTTCTTAATGGTTCCTTGTACATATTTTTTTCAGGAACCGAGAACCGGACCATTAATAAAAAATAGGAACCGAACTATTAACAAATAAATAATAAATTTTGGAACCGAACCGAATTGAACAGGGTCATAACGGTTCGGTCCGGTTCTTGGTTCCAAAGTCTCAGCCCTATCTCAAAATCGTCTGTTTATATGTTTTTAAATATCTTTTTTAACATGTACTTTAACTTTTGCGAAGTATAAATGGTTTTGGAGCAATTTAATACCACGAATTTGTCGTAGTAAACATATCTATTGTTTTATATAGTAAAACACATTTTTTAAATAGCTGATGTGTCATCATCTTATTGGTTAAGAAAATTTTAATTAACACTATTATATTAAAACATTTAAAGAGGCTGAACATAAGTAAATAGGCAGAAAAATCGGGAACGGGACGCATGTACTATACGACTCGAATAATTAATGAAGTTAATGCTTACAATGAGGACACAAATAAATTAATTGCTTCGACATTAGTAAATTTAATGTTTAATAAAATGAGTTTCGTTTTTATTTAATGACCCTTATTAGATAATTTTATTATAATTATTATTTTAAATATAGTTTATTATTTTAAATATAGTATATTTATTTGTATAATTGTCCCATAATTTAGATCGCCTACTAAAATGTCACACATATAAAGTTTAGTAATATCATACTTTAGAAATAATTAACTAAAAAGTCATACACATAAAATTTATTGACACCATGCTATAAATGAGCGTGAAAATTAAGCCTAATAATAATATGGACGCGTGAAAATTCGGCCTAAAAAGTTATAAATGACTGTGAAAATTCAGCTTAACAAACCGCAAATTTTAGTAATAAAATATTCACTAAAGAAGCCCAAGAGAACCGGTTAAAATCAAAAATAACTTTAAATAGTTAAATAACTAAACTAAAATAGTGAATTTAATAAAAAATAGATAAATAAATATACATTAAAATATATATACTAATAAGAAATATATATAATTATAATTATTATATATAACGGTTTCTTTACGGTTCCTTGTACATATTTTTTTCAGGAACCGAGAACCGGACCATTAATAAAAATAGGAACCGAACTATTAACAAATAACTAATAAATTTTGGAACCGAACCGAATCGAACAGGGTCATAACGGTTTGGTCCGGTTCGATTTTTCGGTTCTTGGTTCCAAAGTCTCAGCCCTATCTCAAAATCGTGAGTTTATATGTTTTTAAATATCTTTTTTAACATGTACTTTAACTTTTGCGAAGTATAAATGGTTTTGGAGCAATTTAAGACCATGAATTTGTCGTAGTAAACATATCTATTGTTTTATATAGTAAAACACAGTTTTAAATAGCTGATGTGTCATCATCTTATTGGTTAAGAAAATTTAATTAAACTATTATATTAAAACATTTAAAGAGGCTGAACATAAGTAAATAGGCAAAAATATCGGGAACGGGACGCATGTACTATACGACTCGAATAATTAATGAAAGTAATGCTTACAATCAGGACACAAAAAATTAATTGCTTCGACATTAGTAAATTTAATGTTTAATAAAATGAGTTTCGTTTTTATTTAATGACCCTTATTAGATAATTTTATTATAATTTTTATTTTAAATATAGTTTATTATTTGTTTTGAATATTAGTCCTAAATATTATCCCGTCTATAGGTCCAAAAATAGACAGCCCTGATAACATTCATAGAAAATCTGAACAAAAGAAAGTTATTCAGACGCCTCTAGTGAAAGATGTCCCAAGAAAGTACAAGTATGATAGCACATAACAGTACAAATAACCATTTAGGCTAAATCAATCCTCATAGCACAAAAAAGTATGCTTAATCTTCTTTAGAAATCTTATTTTGTAGTTATTTTACACTTGCATTTTACTAAGTTCAACGATTAGCATTTGAATTTTGAAAGCAACAATAATAAGGTGTTTGTAATAAGGTGTTATGGGTGCCGATCAAATCCAACGACCGGGTCCATTAAAGTTCAATTATCACACAACAGACCCTTATTTATGTTTTTCTTTGACTATTTCAAATTAATTTTATTAATTATTTTTTTTTGTTTTTCCGAGTGCACCCAACACTACTATCACGTTACTTTTAATTCGACTAATTTCAGCCTTATATTGGACTTAAATAGATTAAACGAGACCAAATATAAATGGATCATATCAGACTTAGATGCCTGCAAAATATACATAAAATAGATATTTATCACACTAAATCAAACTTAAAGAATAAATGCAAGTATGCCATAGACATCATCCTTTAGACATTAGTGGAAGTTAGTATTTGACAGGGCCGGCCCTGGACAAGGGCAGGCCGGGCTTGTGCCCCGGGCCTAACATTTACAGGGGCCCATAATTATATATAAATGGAAAAATATAGAGAGGACAATTCATATTAGACTGAGGTCATTTGGAGCCCTTTATGGAGGAATTTTTTTATGAAACTTTTTTAGAGTATTTTTCATCAAGTGTAAATTACATTCACAAAATTTTAGTTTAAAAATCATCCGGGAAGTCAGTTAAATAAAATATTGAAACACACTGCGCTTTGTGTATATAAATAATGCGCACTATCTTTCAATAATTTATTTAACTGACTTTCAGGTTGAATTTTAATCTGAAACTTTGTGGATATATTATAGATTTCATGAAGAATATATTTAAAAAATTTCATGAAAAAATTCTATCGGACCTAATTTCAAGGTTTCATCTTTGGACTTTAGTTCGTTTTGCTCAGCAATCAACACTCTCCTAATTTTCTCAAAAATATCTTCCAAATTTGAAATTTCAATTTCACAAGTAATTCTCTGGTTTTATTTTTTATTTTTAAATATAATTTTTATTCGTTTAGTTTATATATTAAGACTTTGATGAAAGATTTACATTACTTTGTATGTTGAAATTTGTGTATATAAAGTTAAGTTTTTGCAATATATTTATATAACCTTTTAAGGGCCTTCTTTTTTTAATCGCCTCGGGCCCATAAAATATCAGGACCGACCCTGGTATTTGAACCGCCTCATCCTCATTTGTGATATGTCAGAACAAAAACGTACGAATAGTCAATAGGCCAGCAGCCGAAAATAATTCCATAAAACTAAAATAATATAGATGGACAAATTTGGAATGCCACTGAACATAATATTTAGAGAATATTATCCGAGGTATGACTAAAAAGTTTGAAAATTCAAAAACATATTTGTCATGTTTTTATTCTCAAAATAGGACTAATTACTGTCATGTTTTGGCACTACCAGACTTCAAACATGGCAGTATTTTTCAAACTTGACAGTAATTACTCCTATTTTGGGAATAAAAAAGATTACAGTCCTAATTTGGAATTTTGAAACTGTTTTAGTCCTATTTCGAGAACTTTCCCTAATATTCATCTACATAATACTTCGTACATGTTTTCCATAGTGTAATAGATACTAGGTATAAAGAATTTGGATGTATCACAGGCTTCACAGCATTGTTTACTCATTTTATAACAGGTGTTGCCGTGTTGGTAATTTTGTTCTTTGCAGTATTCAAATATTGAATATGACTATATGAGTATATCACAAAAGTATAATTTGATGCCAAATTTGATGTCCATACCGTTGGGATTGGAAAATTCAAGAACAGAATTACAAAAGGAGTAAACTCTCACTTAAAAAAACCAATCCTCACTAATACACTTCTACTCTAAGTGTATTTCACTTTTCACACACTTTTCCCACTTTAGAAGCGGATGCTAATGAACAACATGAAGCACTCTATTTGTAGGACTAGTTTGGAGACAAGAGGAAGTTGCATCCAAACTTCCATTTACATAGCTAGGGAGTTTCCTAGTTATCTCCAAATAATCTTCTCCCATATTTATATGTTGGAGATCTCCTTCCAAAAAGGTGATAGATGCCTCTTGACAACTTACAAGAAAGAGAGTGGAAGATCCTGCAAGAATGCCAAACTAATTCTAGCTTACATTAAAAAAAAGGCAATTAAAGTTTGTATTTTTAATTAGAGTAATTTTTCCAAGTCCAACCAATAATGTATAATGTCAATTCCCAAACTTTAATACTCCATATATGAATATATGATTATTGGATTTTTCTCTTATAAACTAATCGCGCTATACCAAAATTGAATCCATCATATGCTCAATGATATTTGGTCAATAATAGCATTGAACTTCAACTAGATCATATAAAATAATTGAACGAGTTTCCTTTTACCACATTATCTTTTTTATTCTCAATCTAGTAATACAAAGGTATATACATAAAACAACCTTGTAAGCACTTCAAACTAACATCCTATCATATAAGTGATGTTACTCTAATGTTATAGCTACACACTATCAAAATTTTGTTTAAAACCCGTAATGTTCCTCTTAAAGCAAATTACTCTTAGAATGTTGAACATTACCCGTATAGAACAGGTATATTTAATTTTTTAGTCCATTGATTAACTGATCATAATTATTTTCAAAAATTGTAACCTAAATTGTGTATATGCGTTGATCGGTTAATTGTAGTACAAAATTTAAAACATAACCCGTATAGAACAGGTATATTTAATTTTTCATGTGTACTATATTCCAAGTTGTTCCCCTCTTTTACTTTGCTCATTTATTAACATATTTATAAACTCTTGATATCAATATCTATACGGAGTACAATACATCCAACAACTAGAGGAAACTAAAAAACCGATTCTATTTAGATCCCACACGTGACACATTGAAGGTAGCCGAGCATATGATTGTTTTTCAGATCCCATAGCCATTTCCATTGCCAATTCTTTGGCAATCCATGCTTTTTTATATGACATGTAAATGCCATATTTGGTTTGCATATCAAGCATCACGGATTTCGGAGGGTATGGCTTATTCGATGGATCACCGTATTCGTGTTTGATTAGTTCAGCAATAATCCTAGACGTAGCCTGACGGCTATTTCGTTGACGCACATCAATGGAGCATGTGTGCTCAGAGTCAAATCTGGAAAAAATTAATAAGATTAGGCATTATCTTATTTAATGCACATTGATCGAAATAAAACTAATAACACAAGTTAATGCATATGTATTAAGAAAAAAAATGTATAGTATGATCAAATAAAAAGTCCCAAGATAAAAAAAACAATTAAAATATATTTTGGCAATGTACACAACTAAATAACGTAAACACATGGGGGAAAAACACTACGTATTAGACCTCACTGTCATAAGATATATAGTCATTAAATTAAAGTGGGGAGAGCACAGTAAAAGTAAAGTGGAAGCATGGGATTATTTAGGACAGTGGGAAAAAATGATGAGATAGGCAAACAAAACGTAATGCAAAAAGGAAGGCATTATAACATTTGAACAAAGGGCATTCATATAAATAACCACATTCTAATACTGAATTTATTTCCCTTAAACCAATTGTTTTCTTTTTTAAAAAACAGTGACATCATAAAAGTATGGAATAGGGCATTAAATTTATATGTCCTTTTGCGTGTACAATTAAATATTTTAACCGTATATGACGTAGGGCAGTAATAGAAATTCATGGGCCATATAAAAAAAACAAAACACTGACACCATAATAAAAAACGTAATAGGACATTAAATTTTTATGTGCATGCCACTGTAGAGTTAATCATTTGAATTTATATTAAATAGGGTAGTAATAGACAAAATAATGACACCATAACAGAGCGGCATAGGGCATTAAATTTATATGTCCTTGCCACTGCACATATGTTAATAAAATAATATTAAGATGGGCAGTAATACACATGCATGAGACAAAAGAATAACACAACAGTGACATGGCAGTAATAGACATGCAAGGCAATAAACTCAGATGGCAGTAATAGACATGATAGGCAATAAATTCATATAAATGAATGCATACCTTTTAACCTGGAACAATGAGACTCCGTCGATGCACACACCACGCACAGCCCACTTGCAATTGGGGTGATCAACACACACAACATGCAAAACCTTTGGGAAAGATGTCTTCGTTTTATACTGAAAGAAATTGGTGATGGCATACATCTTTAAGTGAAAATCAAGTTCCTTCTTGCTTCCATAAATGGCATGAAGTGCAATGCGAGTGGGTTCATGGTGGGATATGATGGACCTATTTTGGTTGACATTATCAATAAATTCTTCTGAATTAATAATGTCATCATTGCATACATTACCAACTTGGTCCAGATCACTGTCCAAAGGCATGAATTCACTGCCCTCGATGCCTTCATTGTTAAACCAGCCACCATGTTCAACAATATTGATATCCTCCGGAACAGGTTGACGTGCATTATGGTGGCCAACTGAGGGACTTTGAATTTCTTCAGAGATTGAATGCTCCTCATTTGACGGAGATGGAGGGGTAGAGGGTAAAATTTCAATGCACAGAGGCATAGTCATAGGATCTTTTTGAATACTTTTCAATTGGAGAAAGAATTCAAGTGTGTTATCGTCACTTACAACAACAGGCGGTGGGCATGAAGCAAAAACGTACGACATCAATATCTTCTTGCCTGCGTAGTCCTCCCCCATAGCAGAATACACAAAAGAACGTAGAGAAGCAAACGTACAATCAACCGGTATAGTTATAGCGCCTACATGAAGACTGGAAAAAATAGTATTCGTTACCCATTGCCCATCATATCTGATCAGAATCCACATTTCCGGGTGATTCACAGTAACAGAATTCATTGTTGAAGAAGAGGTCGCAGATGGTGTACGGGGAATGAAGAAATGAGTGGCGAAAAAAATAAAAACTCTTGATTAATGCAGCGGTTACATTAATGGGTTAATCCCTATTTTTTAGTCCTTGAGATTAATACGTGATCTTGGATTGTGATTGAGATGGCCGAAAAACTAGCTCCCAAAACGTTTGCATTTTATTTTTTTCCAAATTCGTTTGAGGGTAGAAGCGTGAATAATTGTAATGGTTAATAACCGATTAAAACATGGCATGCCATTTACGCATGTTTTCAGGAAACAAACTATTGAGGTCATACGTTGGGAAACTATATGTCTTTTAGTCATACGCCCGTTAATTTTCTCTTTAGAATATACCTAAAACATGTTATCATAGTAACCCAATAAACAAGTGGTCATTCTCGCAATATTCTAATAGCATTTTGACTCAACAAATTTGCGTAATCAATAAAAAACAATCAATTCAACATGATATGCATTGTATGTATCTAGCTCTTAATGTTTGATATAAGTATGTAAATCAATATATATTTTAGATAATATGTACGTCAGTACGTGTATGTATAATATATAGTCCCTCCGTCCCCAATTTGATGTACCATATTTCCTTTTATGATTGTCCCAAAAAAAATCGCATTTCCTTTTTTTTAGCAAAAAATAGATTGTGCATTTTCAATTTAAACCTTCTTATTGTCTTTAATCTAACTTTAACATCCTATTCTTCTACTCATTCAACCCAATTTTGTCATACCCTTACACCTCTGTGCGTTCATCCCCCTCCCCCCCCCCCCCCCAGCAAAAAAAAAAATCATTGGTCACCCGTTCGTCACTCCTTGCAAGTTGCTCCTCGGAATATTACACAAGATGCTAGTAAATTTAGTAATGGGACGAGAAGGGCATGGGAAAAACATTTGAAACAGAAACACTAGTAAAGAAGTCAAATTGATGTACTATAGAGATTTAGGAGTCTCGATATATGAAACTTCGTAATCTTGTTGTAATTTAATTGGTTCCCTTCCCCTCTTTTGTTTGCTTTGTTTAGTAGAGGCCAATCAGACAGATCCAACAATAATGGATTTTTTCAATTTCTTGATTTAAGAATGGTGTGAAGATAGAGGTAGGGGAGTGCTAGGGACAAAGGGAAATGGAAAAGAAAGATGAGGGGGAGTCATGGTAGTCTGGACCGTTTGGTAGAGATGAAGAGCGAAGAAAGGAAATGAAAACAAAATAAGGGTGATTTTGGATGTTCCATACCCCTCCCTAATCTTTGTGCCCATTAGTAGAGCTGTAGAGGCAAGCCAAGTCCCGGTCAGTGGTAGGGGAAGCCCGGGTCCGACTCGGTTAAATCCAAGTAAATCCAAATCTGACCCCGATTTCAGTTATATTTTATTTTTCATTTTCACAGTAAAAGAAAGAAAGAAACTTGGGCAATCCAGTACCGAAACCGGGACCGAAACCGCCCAGTTCGGTCCCAAAAAGGGTGAGTCAGGACCGGATAACATACTTGGGGAGGCCATGGAAGCGGTCCCAGGCCTGAACCAAAATTTCTAAACTCGATTTGGTCCCAAACAATGTCATACTTGATTCCGGACCGAACCGGACAGTAGGGTCCACCTCAAATTAGTGGTGGATTCGGGTCGGGCCGGGTCGGGCCTAGGCCGGGGCGGGGCGGCGGTAGTCATAGGCCCGACCGGGCTTTTTTTTGGGAAGGAAGGCCCAGGGCCGGGCCGGGTAGCCACCGGGTCCGGGCCGGGCCAGGCCTCCGGTTTGGTTAATTTTTTTTTTTTTTTTTTTTTTTTTTGCTTTCCTAACCCCCCCCCCCCCCCCCCCCCGCACCCCAAAACCCCCCAAACCCCTCCTAACCATCAAGCCCAACCCGAGTGTATCCCAAGAAATGAAAAAAATAAAAAAAAAATCAATTAGGCCCGACCCGGCCGAGCCGGTTCGCCAAATACAAGGCCCAAGCCCAGACCCCCCCCACCAAGCCTAGGCCTGACCCGGACCCGAGAACCGGGCCGGTTCCGCCCGCACAGTAGCGGGCCAGGCCAGTCCCGGGCCGGGCGACCCGAACCGGGTCGATGACTAGCCGGCGGTTTAGAATTGGTGGACACAACACTGACCCGGGTAGCCACCGGGTCCGAGCCGGGCCTCCGGTTTGGCTTTTTTTATTTTTTTGTTTTGCTTTCCTAACCCCCCCACCCCCCAAACCCCTCCTAACCATCAAGCCCCACCCGGGTGGAACCCCAAAAAATGAAAAAAATGAAAAAAAATCAATTTGGCCCGGACCCGGGTCCAACCCGGCCGGGCCGGTTCGCCAATTGTAAGACCCGAGCCCGGACCCGCCCCCACCCCAGGCCTAGGCCCGGCCTGGACCCGAGAACCAGGCCGGTCCCGGTCCCACACACTAGCGGGCCGGGCCAGTCCACGGGCCCGATCTGAATCCACCCCTAACTCAAATGTTACCACCAAATTGAGACAGGAGTATATAATATATACTTAGTATAATATACGGAGAAGTATTAAATCTGATTCAACCTAACATACATTGAGATTTGACGAGATTTGAATTGGAAATGATAAAAAAACGAACTGATAACTGCATCAGTTGATCAGTACATAACGGTTTCGTTAGGTCCAATCCAATTTTCCGATCTCGACCGAGTTTTATTTAGGGTTACCTTCTAAGTCCTAACTAGTCCGTAGTATAAATGTATAATGCTTTATCTTGTTAAAATGAGGATAATTATTCTCCTTGTCAACAAAATGAAGTTAAGAGTTAAGACTATGTTTGACAGACAGTCCATCTTCTTTTGTATTATTTAAAAAGTCTCTGAAAGCTCATAGTTGTATGTTTGGTATGACAATTTTTAAGAGCTTAAAAAAAAAAGATCTTTTTTGAGATGCTACAGAGAACGGAGTAGCATCTGAGAAAAGTTTGACTTCTAACATTAATTTGTCCCAACAACTTGTATACCAAACAGAACTAGACCAAACAGTCGGTTTTTTACCAATAGCTAACACCTTTTACTTTTAAAATCTTTTCAGTCACTAAGAGCTAACAGTTACTAAAAAGTCTAACAATATCTTTTCAGATAGTTGAAAAACTTGAATGCATGATTTAAAAATTCACCCTGCAGGCCTGCATCACACCTTAATCTTATGTTCATAATTATGATGAAATAGAATTTTAAGCAAAATTACAGATTCATAGGAAAGATTAAATGAAACAATAGTTTTCTTCTTTTACATAGTCGCACAGAAGATGATACATATAAATTCGCTCTAAGAAACTCTTACCTGTCACTACCAACTTGACAACTTAAGATAACATGACAACTTCTATGGAGTATATAAAAGTAATAAATACATTTTACAGCACACGCTGGGAAATCGACCGAAATAAATGGTTTCGAACTTGATGGTGAATAGTAACATAGCATCAACTCCCTACGACTACAAAACTTAGAACTCCCTACCTAATTAATGCTTGATTGGGAAAAAATATTGCTTATTGAATGAACAAACCTATAAGTCAGCTGGAGTTCTTGAATTGGTAGTAAGTACTACAGAGCAAGCACGAGTAAGCAACAGATTGTAAAGGTCCTCAGCTGTTGGTCGGTCACATGGATTCTTCTCTGTACACAAATAATATACAGAAACAAGAAATCTTAAAAGATCCGTTTCAGTTTGAGGCTTGTCTAGCTCAGCCCCAGAATCGGGACCAACTGTTAAATCCTCGAGCTTTCCCCTGGATTCAGCCATGGCGTCCAACTCTTTGGTTAGTTTTGGTCGTTCGCCCATCTAGTTTTCAGAATTAAAACATTATACCATGTAATTGCAAAAAAAAAGGATACAAACAAGTTCGGACATGGAGAAGAGAAACTATACCTGAAGAGAGCTCTGAATATCTGATTCAGGCAACCCAGCATATGGAACTTGAAGGGTCAATAGTTCCAAGAGGAGGCAACCAAATGACCAGATATCAGCTTCCTACACAAGAAACAATAAGCATGTAAAAATACTCTCTCAGTTTCTCATTATGTGATGTAATGCATATACCTAAACTACCCTTAATTAACTTAGTTAAACTGACCGTTAAGATAGAAAAGGGGAAATGCAAAATTGGTATCAAATGCTCTCTTGATCATATAAAAAGACATGCCCTACCTATCCTGAACTTAAATTCCTGTTTTCGTTTGAAGAAACTGCTACAAATAGGAGAGAAACATGAATGAAATGTTTATTGTTTTATCCCAAAAATAAGTCATTAAGTAATAAAGAATAAAAGTAGTTAAAATTTCTTCTTTGAGAAGTGAATGAAACTTATTTCAAGAAAAATCCAAGGCAAATTCTATGGGGCAAGGTACTGCACATTGTCCACATGGATGGATGGACCAATTAGAATACTACTTCGTACAATTGGGTAACTTAAACATAAACAAATGGTGATATAATGACATAGACCAATCATAAGTATTCTAGATACGGTGCCATAGCACTCACCATTCACAAATAACCAATGGTGGTCCCATTTGAGAAAATGAATCATGTTTTTGTCCTGTTTAGGGAACTTTCTCGTTCCTTTATGGTCTACCCCAAGACGATCATATTGTTTCTTTAAAAAAAGAAATGTGTAGTTGATATTATTTCTCTCATTTAAACCCAAATCAGAATCAAACGTGAGCAATTTCAACCACATATATCTGAATAAGCGCGTCAAGTCAAAAATCGTCATTTCAACCAGAGGACGATTTCAGGACGGAATATGTTGTAAGCAACAAAAATCAACCAGAAGTGTGAAATGGAGGGGAGAATAGAGAATGTGCTGGGACAGTGAAGCATCTAGTGAACCAATATATCCCTAATAGCCTAAGGTAGAAACTCACCAATCCATACAAGTTGTGCTCATGCATTGCTCGAAATACCTCAGGAGACATCCACCGAGGTGTTCCAACACAAACATCAGGTGGGGGTACCCCTGTGTGCGCAATGCAGCATGTATGCAAGTAAGAATGGAGTGGGATTGCTCTATCAAAGTCACATAACTTTATTGTGGGTGTACCATCATCTCTCCTCTTGTCCAAGTCAATCAAAACATTTTCAGTTTTTATGTCACGGTGTATTATATGTCTGGAGTGCAGCTCCTTCAATGCAGATGCTACATCTCTGGCAATAAACAGTGACAATTCCACTGGTAGACACTTCTCACCAGATCCAGAGACTTTCTCTAAATAGCTCTGAAGTGTGGACACATGTAAGGAAATGTGAATACGGGCCAACAAAAGTGTATAAAAAAAACATAACATTCTGCATGGGAAAATGTCACCTTCAATGAGCCTCCTTTAACATGTTCCATGAAAATGGCAGACTGCAAAAGACGGTAATTCATATTTCCATCTGCTACAATCCACTTGGAAGAAATTTGATGACCATGGATCTCTACTATGCAGGAATGCTTCAAGACACTCAACATCCTGACCTCCCCTATACAATTGAAATCAAAACTCCGAATTTCATCAATGGATGATCCATGTACTTCTAAAGTCCGCACCTGCAAAACAATTAAATTAAGGTAAAAAAAATGATCCAACTTACTAAATGAATGGGTTTAAACACAAATATTCACCACTAGTCCCAGTCACACAAGTCTGTCCAACATCAACAGCATACAATAATAAATGAACTAGTGATGCTTACATTGAAGTGTAAAAGATTATTAATCAAAACGAAACTATATCAACAACTTTGAAAATGCTTAGATAGTGTAAAAAACCTTTGCCAGAGTCTCTTGTGATCCCAGTTTACATTGGATAAGAGTTGTAGAAGCGACTTTTCCAATTTCATCCGAGGTAGAAAGAGAAGGAACAGAAACGGAAGCAGAACTGCCAACAGGATTAAGAGAAGAGTTCACTCGGCTCAAAGGAACATACCTGGAAATAAGTAATGCCTGTGAGAGACTGTAATTGCAACACCAGAGACGCATGCACAAATAAGCAAGCAAAAGATAGGAACTCCAGAATTGAACGTAAAATGTTGTATATTCAGAATGGAAATTGATGAACTGAAAAGGAAAAATTATGGATGAGGCAAGTTTGAGAGTGCCTCTTCTCTCCCAGTCCTATTCCAAGCCCAATTTCTGCCTAACTTCTTATTTCTCCCTTAGCTTCTATTTGTACTACCCGTGCAATTATTATTATTATTATTATTATTATTATTATTATTATTATTATTATTATTATTATTATTAGCACTAATCTGCCCAGGTCCCTATCATCCTTCCTCCTTTGACAACCACTTTGTCCTCAAGGTGAGAGGTAGGAAACAGCCTTGATCATCAACTTCATCCTTGCACCTCTTCCTTCCCAGTACCTCATCGATTGCTGGACTAGGAGCTTCATAACTTGACCAGTTGACCCTTCATCATAACTTCCTCCACCGCAAGAAAGATCAAAGGCCGGAGATAAAAACTTTGAAATAGGTTGTCAAAAATAACAATTCCACCGACACCAGTTACTGAACTGTTCCTATAACCATCTTCATTACTCAATGACAAGAGAACTGATGGAAAAGGATCAGCATCTTCCTTTGAATATATGTGTACAAATCTGTGACCACGCTTCTGACAAGAAAATGAGTGAGGTCCTACTTGCTTTACATGATAACCAGACATTGAAGCCTCTACATTGGAATCAATATCATCATATAAAAGGTCCCGCAACATGAAATCCTTCTGCCCTGTATTAGCTTCAGCTGCCACACCACCATGCTTGAGAGGAGCATTGTGGCTTTCACACGCGACAATTGTTTTGATGTTAATTTCAGAGAAGGGGGGTGAGACTGATCCTTCCATAGATAAACCTATAGGACCATAGAATGTGGGAATCATGGAAGGCAGTCATATTGAATATGACCATTCAGAAGATGTTTCTCTCCTTTCCAAGAGATCGATGGATCATATGGTATCAATGCTCAAAAGGGATCTGCCGAAGGAAATACATGATTTCCGAAAGTTCAGTTCATGCACTCCAGGAGATTCCCACACATGGGTGCTGAGCTCCCTTCTTGTTTTCAAGTTTCACAAGAAAACCTTCTTTTGCTGCAAATACATCACCTACTTCAGGACTAGAAACTTGGTTAACCTAGTACCCTTTCTGCACAAATGATAGTCCTGTAACATTGTGGGTCTCAAACTTTCTTCACAGCACCATCTAACTTCCCCAGAAAGTGTTCATAAAGAATTCCTGACCCCATCCCTATTATTACCAGGAAGGACTTTTGAGAACACCAATTCATTACTCTCATTTGTCAATTGAATTATTTTCCTATCATCCTTGCATTTTCCATCCAGATGCCCGAGAAAGAGAAACAGAAGAACTATACCTCTGTTTGCATACAACAGTCCCAACTATGTTCTCTTGCACCTGATTAAATACAATCCCTAATACTGGCTTTTTTATTGCAATATCAACACGAGGGGAAAGTAAAAGGTCTGGAAAATTCTCAGGGCTTGCTGCAATTGCAGATAAACGGTTCGCACCCGGTGGAACCTCAAAGCAACACATTCCACTGTCATCTATCATTTTCACTTGATGTGTCATGTTTTCTGGTCCATGAGTAAGAGGCCTCTTCAAGCAAAGCATCTTTTATAGCACCGTACAATTATACTATTTATACTTGTATACTACCCGTACAATTATCATTTATAGCACTTATCTGCCCAGGTCCCTATCATCAAAACATACACAATTCAGTAACACAATAATTTTTTTAATGCAATCAAAGAAGTCAGATAAATGTATCCCAGCAAAGAGCAGGTGTACATGATCCACTTTCCATGCATTCCTTACATAGCCAAATCCAGCTAGGTTCTTCATGTGATAAAGGTAGAAAAATGTATAGCAATGGTCTTTGAACAGTAGTACGATTGAATAAAAAGCAACCAAAACTCTGAAGTATAAAGGACTATTAGACTGTATCAAGCATAATATACTCAAGTCAATTAGAGAAAAGTAGAAAACAGATATGAGCCGTATGTGGTTCAGATATGCATGAGTCCTGCTCAGTGCTTTAGTCCCTTCGTCTCATAAAACTTTGCCAACTTTCCTTTTTTGGTTGTCCCACTAACTTTGCCACTTTCCCTTTTAATTAAAAAATTTGTGGTTCCAATTAATTCTCTCTCCTCTGCACAACCACACAGTTTTTACTTTATTATTCCATGTGCCAGTCAAACTTGGCCAAGTTTTAAGGAACGGGGGAGTATTATGCAATGATATGGGCTCTAAGAGATTGAACTAACAGCACTCTATACATAATAAAAGATAACAGAACCTAAAACTAAAAGTTCAGAATTGAAGCACATCCATAGACCTTGGAAAAGGAACCTACAGGCTACAGCTAGCTAATGATATTGTTCCATAGAAGTGATCGAGCACAAGAGTTCATCTAAAAAGCTAAATTAAGGTCATATACAGTACAGCCTGTATAAAAAAGAGCTGAAGAAGTCCATAGTGCGGTAAAAGATAAAGCACAGAATCTGGAAGAAAAAAAATCAACCTGCACAAGTATTCTAGATCTGTTTCTTCTCTAATGTCATGGGGGTGGCATGCATCCACTATCATCCGAACCAATCTGCCACTGCACTCAATAACAATGACATTCCAGGCATGAGGGGAGAAATCCAAGTACCCCCTAACAAGCTCACAAGGTATATGAGGCACAATCCGGTCACAAAGATACTGGAGAAAATGAGATTAAATCATTAAAATATGTCAGTATAAGTTATTATTATTAATTCCAAAATACAGTATACACCATAGCACAATTCCTACCGAATACCTTCATAAGCAAAGCTCTGTGTCTACAAATGCCAAACTGCAAGCTCCCGATTGGAACAACAGATGAACGATGTTTTGACTTTATGGAGCTAAGAGAACTCTCACAAAGATCTCGTAAAAGAATATCTTGTGAACTGCTGAGGCTTTGTTCTTCGCCCTTAATCATACTGTCTGCAATTCCGGTGGAGCATGTGCACACAAAAGGCTTCCTATAGTTTGAACCTGATACATCTTTCCTTGCTCTCTGAATAAGAGCACTCCTATCACTTCCACCAAAATGATCAGACACAAAAAGTGCAAGTAATGATGCAACTTGAAGGTGATCAGTGGCTGCAAGTCCTCTGTCCTTGGTGATACCATTTATCTGCCTAAAATGATATACTAATGCCTGAGCACGCAGTACTATGGAATCTAAACCTTCATCTCTTTGCCTGATCAAAATCATACTCATGTGCATTAAAGAATGGACCAAATTGACCAACGGAAATACACTCATGTATGAGAACTGGAATTACAGCATTACCTATCAACAAGAATAACTTCACGTGAACCAAGCAACAAAGTTTGCTCATAGAAGCTTAGTGGCATAAATGGTCGATCTCGGCCAGCATCATAAAAGCCATCAGGCAGGAGATCGTCAATGCCACAAAATGACGTATCACTATATTTCTGTGACAAAATAGCAGGATCAGTAGGCCTTCGAGTTTTGCTTGGTTTTGGATTTTCAAGAACTCCATCAAAATGCCTCTTCGGTTTGGAAGGGCTATCAATAACTTCGGGTGATGAAACTTCATCTTGTGCATTAGCAGCATTTGAAGCAGATTCTGATGGTCTGTCATTTGTAATACTGTTGTCCTTCACCTCAATGCATAATGCAATCGAGTTAGGCGCAACACATGAACATTTTTCTGTGTTATCTTTCTTCAACTCAATATCATCATCATCAACAAACGTAAGAGAACTTATGTTGTCAGAATGAAATGATACTTCCTCCTTGCTAGAATCAGTACCCACAATTGTAGGTGCAGGATGTTCACAATCAAGACATTGTTTTGAAGTTTGCTGTATTGCACATTGGTTTTCCACTCTCCACTTTCTGAGGTTGTTTAGTCGTTCTTGGCGTGCTTTCTGCTGCAAATACTGTCGCCGTTTCCATCGCTTAGATTTTCGTGGCCCAAAGCATCTACTATTTGGTGCGGAGCCCGTTGAGTAAGAAGATGATGTAATAGAAGAGCCTGACCAAATAACACGATTTTGAGAAAATAAGCACGTCAGGACTGTGATTTAGATGCAGCAGGGTGAAGAACTATTTCAACAGATATTACCTAGTTTGTTACCACAATTATTCTCTTCAAAGGCACCTTCAAGAACATCCATTTCCGTAGATGAACTGAGCAAATCATCCGAGCAACTTCCCTCCAAATTGCAGCAAATCCATGATGGTATATTGCAACATTCGAGAAGTCTATTATCCTATCACAATGTCAAAATGGGGGGAGGGAATGTTACAGTTTAGGCAAACCATAAAGTTTTAACTTTTAAAACCATCCAGGCATGACTAAATCAATATCATGAGTCGATTACTTTTACTACTTTATAAAAGAATACAGTTTTGAAATATGCAATATTTCAATGAATCACAATAATGACTACATTCTAGAGGATGTCTGCCAGTAACACAATAACTTTTTTATTTGACCTCGAACTTACACTAGATACTTGAAAGTATAAACTGATTCAGCATTGATGTGTACCTGAAGATTGAGCCTTTGAAGATTATGCATTAAACCAAGTTCAAGATTTCCCATGGACATCAATCTGTTGTGAGAAAGATCCAAAACTTCCAGTCTTTGTAGAGAAGACAAGCCCGAAGGAAGGCCAACCAATTTGTTATTAGCAACTTTCAGCGACAATAGCGAATTGAGATTAGTTATTTCAGTAGGTAAATTCTTCATCTTGTTGAATGAAAGATCTAGAAACTCCAGATTGACAAGATAGCCTATCTCTGGGGGGAGGTATCTGCAAGCAATAGAAGAAACAATGGATTTAACAACATCTATGAGCACATTCTACCAACTGATCAAAAGGAGGGAGATCTTAAAAAGTTGTAAGCTTCAAGGCAAACACCAAATAAAATAAAAAGTAATTGCAGCATTTGTTCTTGCAGTACATCGATGAGAGATCTTTCTAAGTGATACATTTACAATCTAACAGGCCAAACCGAAAGATGTCTTCGCCAAAATCAAGCTACACGCTTGTTATATATTGTTTTACAACTCTCTTATTTGGAAAGAAATAAGATACATACTATTATTATGATGCAACTAAACTGAATAATGCACGGAGTCTCAATAAAGCAAAACAGTTGAGGCTAACTGCTGACCAGAATCCTTCAATGACTGCACACCCAAGTCCCAGTCTATAATGAACCCACTTATTTAACCTCTCGACATGGAGTATCAAGACCCCCCCCCCCCCCCCCGCCCGACCACTAAAAATGTAATTGTAAATGTGTAATGAAATTATGAAACTTTACAAACTACTAGCTCAAAAATCAAAACAGATTAACACTAAAGTGATCAGGACGTTTAACTTATATTGAAAAAACTGGCATTGCTTGAGGCCTTGAGCTAATACCAAACATTTGACAGGAAGAAATTGGAGACATAGGCCGATGGATAATGGAAGGGTCAGGGAAAGGGTAAGAGGAAAGTGTGTGAAATACATGGTTGTAGGAGAAATGCATGTATATTTTTACCCACTACTTTAATTAAGACAGACAATGCAAAATATAGGGGCAAATGGGCAATAATGCATTTTCAGTTTTCACACCCTTTCCCGGGCCCCATCATTATCCTAGGTGGATTATGTATAGTCCAGAGGTTCTAGAGGAGAAGGGATCGGAGCATCCCCCTGCTACATTTTTATAGCCATCCAATTATGGGATTTTTAGAGGGGAGGCTAAACGAAGTACATTCCACTCCCGCCCTGACCCCTTCCGTAGTTCCGTCTACTAAACAAAATTAGGTAACAGAAAACAACGACAATCCATCTCCTCTTCTAGGCCAGACATACCCTAAGTCATCATATGTAACTTTTTTCCTTCACAAATTATAAACAATTCATAGCTGTATTGATTATCAAATCACATTGAATCTTCATAATTCCCTAATGAAATTAAATCACAAAAAAAAACATCTACCAATCAGCCTTACAGAGTAAAACATTACAAACAAACCATGTTCCAGAAAAACCTAGCGCAAGTTGCGATCAGTTTAATGGACTGCGCTAGTGATGTCAAATGGCGGCCATATGACATAATTTTGGCAACTAGGCACAATCCAATATGCACCATTTATAACATTGGACTGTGCAGTGGTGCAGCCAGTTAGACCTATGAGAAGACGAGATAATTTCTTGTTTTCTTGGCAAAATAAAGTTACTAGATGACTAATCGACTCCACAACGTCGCCATGCAGAATTTCTCGAGTAACAACTTCCAAGCTATGAAGAAGAATCTCAGCCCAAGAGTCACCAGTTGAGGTTGGAGGGCAGTAAAATTTAAAAAAAAAAAAAAACAGTTGCCTAATACTTCATGGGGAAAAGGTGAGACTTCACATAAAAGATAAGCTAGATATATTCTGTAAATTCAATATTCTACCTCCATAAAATCTTAAACAGTATGAACTATGAACTAGTTTGCCTCTATCAAGAAGGGGTTGTAGTAGTATAAACAGCTTTTCAAAAAACTGCATTGTATCTCTCCCACTCTTGCAAGAGAGTATTTTAAGGTGAAAAAAGACTCAATGTAACCACTCTATCTGTACGACACTGCTGGAATAATTTAGATAGAATAAGATAATGAGCAATGGAAATATAAAATTGTACTGCTATCAATTATTCCCAAATAACATAAAATTGGATTATAATAATACATAATGGAGCGCTAGAAAATATTAATATAATTACAATAGATACAAACCTAATGGAAAAGTGGCAAACAGAGAGCTTTGTTAGCCGTTTAAGCCCAGTGATATCCCTAAAAATTGGTAAAGCGGAAGGCTTTGGGGGTACTTTACAGAGCTCAAGTTCTTTCAATCCCTTCAGCTGCTGCAGATCCAACCCGCTTAAGCCTGGCAACGCCACCTTCACTTGCAAACACTCAAGCTCAACCAAGTTCTTCAGCTCCCCGGGCTGGAACAAATTCACATCGTTGGCGAAGAACTTGAGCGTCTTCAACCTCTCTAGGCCTCCATTCACTTTGGGAATCAAGTTGAACGTGTTCTTGTACATGTACAGCTCATCTATTTCCCCTAGGGAGCATTCCAGCAAAGGAAAGTCGAAACTTTTCCCAGACACGTCGATAATCGAGTCACATATCTTGGCCTTTTGGGATGCATCTTCACTGGGGCTCTTCAATTCGCTAGTCTTACCTGAATTTCTTGCCGCATTCTTGGGGGACCCGTCAACTTCATCGGAATCTTTTTCATGAATCTCAATTTTGTCCATCAACTAGACGAAGCAACTAGTGTATTGTAATGAAATTAATGATCAAGAAAATAAAAAACGTTACTGAGATAGTGGCGGTGGAGTGTGTAATGGACACTCGGGTACAATGAATAACAGCAATAAACAAAATCAAGGCGACCAAAAAAGAGATGTTCCGAGGCAATTGAAGAAGAAAAGGTTCCTGCTTCTCAGAGACGAAGAAGAGAAACCCTAGAATTCTAGAGGGAGCGGTAGAGCGGATAAGGGAGAGTCATATGCATAAATGGAGTTTGACTATCAAACTGTATCTGTCATGAGCCGAAGTGTTTACTACTCCGTATTTGGATTTATGTACGATGTTGAAAATTTGGATTTATGTTCAAAATATATTTGAAAATTTGTTTTAAAGAAATGCTATATTGTTGATCTCATTTAGGGAGAATTTTCTCTCATATCCATTATCTTTAGGAAAAATTGAAAATAATAATCTCAACTATTGCCGGTCCACCGATAATAATCCCAACTATTGATTATTTTTGTATAATCCCAACTATATGGACCATCCGCCAATAATGGTCCATGACAGGATATTACCTTCCAAAAAAGTGAATTTTAAATAGAAATTAAGTGTAAAAATTAAAAGTTGGGAATATTTATAGGGATTACTTGCTATATCTCTCCTCATCCACTTTAGAAACTACAAGAATTTATTTATAGGGACCATTATTGGCGGAAGGTCCCTAAAGTTGGGATTATTCTGAAATAATTGATAGTTGGGATTATTATAAGCGAACCGTCAATAGTTGGGATTATTACTATCAATTTTTCCTTATCTTTATCTCATTTTTCTTTATTCCATTTAAGGAGTGTTTGCGGTTGCTTAAAAAAGTATTTTTCAAACTTTTGGTTTTAAAAAAAAAAACTGAAAATGGTGTTTTTAAATGACAGCTTCTGCTTAAATTAATCACTTACAAGCTAAAAGCTGGAAGCAGGTAGAATGGTGTTTTAAACTGCTTTTCACTTTTTCTATTATACGAAAAGTACTTATTTTTCCAAACACTACCAACTTTTGCCTTTTCAGAATCACTTTTTTCTCAAACACTACCAACTTTTATTATTAATCACTTTTTCCAAAATCACTTTAAAAAATCATTATTTTAAAGTCGAAGCAATTGCAAACACTCCCTTATTCCACTAAGAGCCCATTTAGTAGCACGAAAATCGGCTGATTTGGTTGGTTAAAGAAAAAATTAATTTTTAAAATATATTTTATTAATAAAATAAAGAAAAAATTATATGTGAAAATGGCCAAAATGATCATCTACAGTAACTTCAGCCAATAGAGCCAGAAAAGTAACTTCAACATTACTTTTTCTGCTTATTACACAATTCAGCGCGCGAAAGAGAAAGTTACGTTGGTGAAACATCTCTAAATTTATCCAATATAATACGGAGTATTTATTAATAAGATTTGTGTGATTATAATTAATTGTTACTTTTTGTACACCTTATCAGTTTGATATCAATTAGAAAATTCTAATTTTTTTAATGACTGAACCATCCCCCATGTCACAATCTTAAAAAACAAAGAAAGTATCCTAAATGGTTTCACCATAATCATTCATTTTTAAATTAAAATCCTCTACCATGAGTCTATTATAAAAATGAATGACTATTACAAAGCTACGAATGCATATATGTCCCTATTGTGGACTTATAAGAGCTTAATAAAGAAATTTGATTTCATATCATACATAATCTTACGATTCCATTTTTTCAATATGAAGATTGAGTTTTAAGGTTAAAGAAAATTGAGGAACATAAAGAGTAAATTATGAATTCATGTTTCGACTTATAGTGCATATCTACACAAGGACGTATAAGAACCTGTTAAACTTTAATTTTCCCCAATAAAATTCTTTAGAGTTTTTCAAATCACATGTCATATTAATCGGTCTCTGCTTCGCTGTTTTGGAGACTTGAAGCACATCAGTGCAAAGATGGAGCGGTTGGTTGTATATGGATTGTTTTTATGATTTTGCTTGAAAGTTTATGATATCTCTTCAATCCTAGGTTTATTTTCACCACCACCACGAGGTTGATGGGTTGTCTGTGTTGGAAGATTGTAATTGATTCTTATCAAACGAACGAGTATAAGATTGGAGTAAGTGAAGATTGGACTCCTCACGTTATTCTATTGTTACATCTTCATGAATCTTTTTCAATTGATATGTTTATTATCAAAGACTATATTGTTGGAATTGTTCGGATGGCTGATAATCTATAGATGTCGTTAGATGTATGGGGGATCTTTATGATTAGTAATATACTCCGTATGTTTTTTGCTCGTTTGGTGGTTAGCGATTTGTGTAACTCTTCGAGGATGATCGTCTATATGTGTAACGGTAGGGTATCGGTTGGCAACATTAGGTAGAAGGGAGCATATTTTGACATGTGACATCGACGTTCAAAATACCCCTCTGCAATAATAGTCAGATGTTTACCTCACATTGGGCAATTAAAAAACAAACCTTTGAATGAATTGTAGGGTTAATTCAGAAAAATAAGGAAATTAATCAATGGAAATAGCCAAGGAAATCAGAAATGAGATGGAACAGAAAAGTAAAAGTTTGTGCAACACACAATGTCCTTAAAATGTATTTGTTGCCTCCCACGGTGTTAGGAGCGTTACAACGATAGTTTTCCAGGATAAAGTGACTACGAACAATCGCTTGAGCACACAACCGATTGTTCCGTCGAACGGAAACAAAGATAGATAACTCAAGGAAATTTTCAGACTGCATAGAGCCGTAGATAGACTGTGTGTGAATAAGGTACACAAAATGAGGTACACCTACCATTTTTGTTGAAAGTTCGGCGGTGGCAATTGTTTTTACTTAAATATTGCGGAGTGTATGCTTAATTAGTATGAAGTATACTATGTATTCCTTTTTTAATAGCACACATATTGAATTCACCAATCCAGTCAGTAAGACTGTAAGAGATGGAATAAATCAAGCAATCTGAAATCATACATTACGTAGTACCGATTTTTTCTTTCTTTACCAATATATGGCACGTATATATACATATAGAGCTTAAGCCTTAATACAATTTTCCTTTTCTTCTCCAAGTTCTCAGACACCGCCGATATGACACATATAAAGTTATATATAAACATTGTCCCATTCTCTAAAAGTTACTATTTAAAGCAACTTCAAGGGTCAACAGCCAACTTAACATAAATTGCTACTCTTACAAGGAGCTGAGTCTCACAAGACAGATACTCGATATGAAACTAAATGCATAAATAATCCTAAAAAGGTGATGAGTGATTTAGAAGAACAAGCAATTACAATGTTAATATTTGTTTGAGGGGTGTGTATTCTTTTTCTCTGAATATCTTGCTAAGAAACAGGGCATGCAGTTCTTGGAGGTATGAAGACAAACAGTGATCACGCAAACTTGGTCAAACACGGTTGTAGGCAACTGACTTGCTGAACAAGCGTCTAATGTAAGCAACTTGAAGTGAGCTAGCAAGAGCAAGCAAAAGATACTCTCCAACCGTGTAGAAAATGACTCGCCTTCTTGTGCTCTCATTTGCTTCATGACAACATAAGTTTAAATTAAGTGGTTGGCATACATACAAGAATATGCACATGCTGTAATATGGTTAGCAATTGCAGTCTGACAGTTTTAATCAATGGTCTGCATTTCATTTTCAGTTGGTGGGAGGGTGGGAGCAGGGACAAGCTACATAAGCAGCAAAACATTGCACACCCACCACATCGGTATTCACCCCATGGCAGCAAGATAACTACAGACTGCGAAGTTAGTGTTTACTAGCAGACACAAAAGAAATTGATGGATATGCAGTCTCTGAAAAGGTGATATTCAACGACTTACAAGTCTTCGAATCAATATTTCTGCACCCAGATAGATAAACAACTAAGTACTTTTGTACTTCTCATTTCCCAGATCCACATCAAAATGAAAATTAGCATACCTTAATGCTCCGTATGCAATGAGTGGGTGCATTAGCATTCAATGTCCTATTGTTTCTATCTAAAAATGCTATTTCTAACCCTATTGTCAGTCAAGGTTTGCCTATCCTAAGACTATTTGGGTTCAATGATAACAGAGATAAAAGATGTAATAGAAAATTTGAGCATTGCAATGTGCCTAATGTAATTAAGATCAAGGACCTACTATGACGATGGCGAGCATCACGTGCTTTCAAATACTTCTGCTCAGATGTAACTGATTCCAATGCTTCCCTCAGTTCAGCAATTTTGACATTAATGGGATCCAAGTGTTCTGCAAGAAAGAAACGATTTTACATCATTTCTAATATTTTAAAGAAACTCGCAGCAGCTTCCATTGTCACTTATTACTCAATATCTGTTTGACTTTGAATATGGAAGGGCTGGATAATAAATACAGAGTTTTGAAATTAAAACATGAAGAACTATCTTTGTAAAAATTAAGACAAACCATCCTTGGCAAGGTCATGCTCATTAGGAATGTGGCCAACATGTATGTAGAAAGACACTGTTTCTGGCGTTGAATATGGATTGTGAAAACAGAATTTGTACATCCCACTTCTTGGGGCTTTAAATTCAAATTTATCACCAGATGTTCCCTTCATTGTGTGAACGACATTGTCTCCAGGTGATGTCACCTGCAGTAGAAAAATGAAAAGAAAAGGAGACATGTCATTGGTATTCCGTTTCAGACTGTACTTGGCTCTAGCTTTAGCTGTTTTTTGAACAAATCATATCCCAACATGTCATCAACATAGTAGCCACATGAATGTGCACCAATTACACCTACAAACTCTGGCGTTCAGACACTCAGTATATCATACTACGTATTGTATTCTAAATTTAGCAATAAATTGGCTTATTTCGTGTAAGATGAGCAATTTCTAGTAGATGGAGCTAGAAAAGCATTTCAATTATGATTGTAGAAGAACGAATTGGTGTAGTCGGGGCCTTTGCCAAACAACCCCTAACATCATACAATTTTGGATAAAGCATAACCTTCTGTAAGATCAAAGGGTGTGGTAATTCAAGTGCATAAACAAAGACCAAATTACGTATTGTAATTGTAATTTACCAATGATTTGCATTTGTTCATCTACAACATTGAAAGCTGGAATAGCGAAAATTGGGCCCCTTACTCCCTAACTGTAGAAGACCGAGATACAAAATGAGCTGAGTAGTAACCTAACCACACTTCCTTTGGGGCGTGTCTGGTTCGAGGGGAGGGGAGGGAGAGAATATATGGCAGGAAAAGGAGTAAGGAAGAAAACTAAGCTCCCCTCATTACCAAATATACTAAGCCAAACAA